AACAGGCGCGGCGGGCCTTCGGTCTGCCGGCTTCGGCGGCCAGAGCTGCACAGCCCACCGCTAAAACCGAGAAGCTCCTCCCTGTGCTGACCTCCGAGTTGCTGCTGGTACAAAGCTGTGAAATTCAAAGGGACTTCAGTATTCCTGTCTCGGGCGCAGCTGCGGTTTTGTGCGCAGTGCAGCTACCAAAGTAGTAATTGCCGTTGCTCTTGCTGAAATAGTAGTAGAAACGGTTTTGCCCTGTTAAAAATGCAGTTTATTTGTCTGGTATGTTTAAGGGATCCTGTTGGTGAAAGCTGCGTTAAGGTTTCTGATACAGGGCACTTAATATCTGTTAAACGTAGGCTTTGTCTGTCCTGCAGGTCAAAGTGCTGCTGCTGTAGCCACACTTCTCTCAGCTTATTATAACTAGCTTCAGCAGCGAGAGGTTAGAGATAAAGGCAGACAATTGTTTCATTTCGCCCTTATCAGTACTTGAGCAAAGCAGATTGATGTTAGCTCAGGTGTGACAGTGTTGTCCTGCAATCACACATGCTGAGCAGCTTAGTATACTGCACCTGAAAATTGCAGTACTGGATGCTCAGAGGTTAATAACAGATGAAAAGGCATATAGAGGAGGATTACCAGAACAGAGACCTGCCCTTTTCCTGAAGGAAGGATTCCACATACCTGAATAGGCACTGGGCTTGGAGTTTGCAGCCTTCCAGAAGGGCATGTTAGCACTTGCTACTTGATAATTTTTTTCTAAGCAAAACAACAGCTCTTTACTCCTGCACTTGTTTGGTTTCTTTGCTGTCATCTTGCCAGCTGTGAAGAGCATTTTACCTGTTTTGGACAACATGATTGATTCAGCTGCCAGCAATTGTGTGTCTTGGGGCAGGACAGCAACAAGCCAAGGGTCTGCAGTTGCTGATGCTGGTAGAGTAATTCCTCAGGCTGGCAGGTGAGCAGTAGCAAGGCTCTTGTGAGAACCTAGTGCAGCCTCAGTTACTGCCCCAGTTCCACTCTAAGCTTCTGCAGATGTAGCTGCCTCAAAGGCATTAATTCCTGGCTCCTAGGCAAGCCAGCAGTCAAGTCAGGGTGAGGAATAGTGTGTTGAGACTGAGTATAACCTGCTGGACGTCTTGTGGAGCCCTGTTGCTCAGCCTTCTTTCTTTTTTCCTCTTGTCCTCTCCTGAGAGCTGCTAATACAGAGCATTAGACAACTAATCTGGGCAAATTATTCCTATAAACTTGATATTAAGAAATACCTATTTGGGTGACAAAAAGAATGTTGTTCTTTTGGTTGATGTTTAAAAAGGGACTTGGGAGTTACTTGCATGGTCATATGCAAAAGAGCTTAGACCAACACGTTTTCTTTCTGTTTGTCCCTTTTGTTTTGCAAAAGCAGACTATGCATCTCGTGCTGCTTGATTCTCAATCTGCTGATTTATTGCCCCTGTCCTTTTGGCAGTTTCGCTTCTTAGAGAATTGGATATATTTTGTATTTTAAAACAAGGTGACTGGCTCCAAAATAGGTAATAACTATACACACTTTCCTGTGTTCTGGCAAGCAATAATTTTTTGTACGCAATGTAATTTAAGCTTCTGGCTGTCCACCAGGCAAGATTTTCATGTATATTTAAAGAACCTTGGTTTAATCAGTGACAATAAATTTGAGCCGGCTTTTTGTCAATGCCCTTGGAGATGCAGGACATAATTTTGCTGAATTCCTCTTGTAGCTTCATTCAGCTGAGTGGTAAAATTACTCAGGTTAATCAAGGTAAGTAGAGCCTGTGGAAGAACTTTAGAGGAACTTAGCAAAACCAGTTGAATGGACAATACTGCAGGTAATATTCTTTATTAATAAATGTTGGGCAAGAGAACTCACAAGAAACAATTTTATTCATGTGCTAGTTTATGAATCAATTAAGGGGAAGACTTGGGCTTTGTTACATAAAGATCTGTTAGAGCAATGATCAGAAATGCAAACACATATTCTAGCTTGTGGGATTTAAGCCCCTTAGTTGAAATCGGAATTCATCCTTCTGAGGTATTAGGAGCATAGCTGTGTGCTGCAGACACTGGTGCTCACTGCAGAGACGCCTCCAGGAACATTGAATGTTCTGACTCACTGGAAGCCATAGGAGTGCAGTCATTCTTACGTCGCTGGGTTAGACCAAACAGTGGCCTGCAGCAATTACAGGCTACTGTGAGGGGTGAATGTAGCTGTAGAGCTTGGGGAACAAGCTTGTATCTCCATCTTGTTTTGTGCAGATACACTGTGTTGTGTTGTGCTGCTAACTGTCAACTGAAATACCTGTTTTATTTCCTAGTGTAGAAGAGCCCTTATATCCCAAATATGTTCACAGGGTTGAATAGAAATTGCCCTTCTTGACAGACTATTGTGTTACATGGGATTTTTTCTATTTTCCATGGAGACACCTGGAACATGGTACAGGATCAAATGATTCTTAGTTCAGTGCAGTTGCAGTGGTTCTGTTCTCCACCATTGTCTCATATTAACAGTTACTGTAAAAGAAACTAACAGTGACATAGTTTGATTTTTAGGTTTGTATGTTCAAGGATCTGAACTAACCCTTTTAAGTAATTATGCTTGAAATGACCCTTTTACATTATTATTCAATATTGTATTTCCTTTCTAGGCAGCCATAGTGCTGTGCCTGGATGTAGGCTTTACAATGAGCAATTCTGCCTCTGGTGAGGAGTCTTCACTTGAGCAAGCCAAGAAGGTTATGACAAAGTTTGTGCAGCGACAGGTATGTGTGACTTTACATGTGATAAAAAAACTGTTAAAAAGGGAGAGGAAATAATGATATCTGTGAAATATTTTTCTCATTTACTAACAATTGAAATAAATGAGAAATGAGTAAGAATTAGTCCATTTTTATGCAGGAGTAACAGTGCTCTGTGTTTCAGCTGTACTTTTGTGGACATGTGGCGGTTGGATTAGTCACTTTTTTTAGGACAGTAGAAACTTTTAGGCAGAGGAAAGTACTCTTTCTCTAAAATGTTTCAACCTTCTTAAGATTTACTATACTCAAGACTCATCTCAATTTTACTTTTTTTTTATCCCAGATATCTTCATGTCAATCTGTTAGTTTAATTATATCTAAAGTAGTGAACTCTCTGTAAGGTTACATTTTGGTAGGATAGCACTGAAAAAAATAAGAAAAAGTAAATCCACTGTACTTGACATTGTTTCAAAATTAGTTCAGCTTGCTCCAGTCTGCTAACATAGTAGTGTTTTTCTACCTGTTTTGTATTTTCTCTCTTTCCAGGTTTTTGCTGAGAGTAAAGATGAGGTTGCTGTAGTTTTGTTTGGCACTGATGGTACTAGGAATGGCCTTGCCAGTGAGGATCAATACCAAAACATTACTGTACATAGGTCACTAATGCTACCAGATTTTGATCTGCTGGAAGACATTCAAGATGTGATTAAGCCAGGCTCTGAACAAGCGGACTGTATCCTTTCGTTGTAGAGCACTTCTTGAACTGATTCAGCTACATAGGAGAAACGAAGTTAGTGTTGTGAAATGGGTTCAGACTTGCCTTTGAAATTTTAACTACTTATCAGCGTTCAGCTAATTTGTGGTTGTAAGTTTGTTCAAAAGCAGATTAGCTGCTTTGTGACATTCTTTTAGGCTAGCTGATGGAGTCTTGGCCGTAGGGTATCATTGCTTTTATGAAGTGTTCTGTTAATTAAAGAGAATAAAGATAGCGATAATACAATTTTAGGCCTCAAATAAGGCATGTGTTTTTAAAAGTAATGCTGCAGAACTTGGTTTATACTTTTTCATCAAATAAAAATATTATTTATGAAATATGTCTGCGGAATTATCAGAAACCAGACAGAGCAGAATAGAGGCTTATGAGATTGATTTCCATATAAAGTATTTCTAACATTGCCAGATGTCACTTGCTGGTTTAAATGTTGTTCATGTTTGAATGTATTCTGTTGTTAGTTGCGTAAGGGGAAGATTTTTAAAAGAAGAGATCTGTGTAGTGTCCCCTTGTATGTTTCATTTACATACTGTTCAAGTTCCTGTGTTGTCTTCCCTCTTTCTGGCCATAAAATTATTGTTGTGAGCTCTATTCTATTTGCGTGCAGCCAGTCAGCTGTATCTTAGCAGAAGCAGTCATGTTGTTCTTCGGTGGGTGGGCAGGTTTTTTGCGCAGTGATAAAAATATGTTCCCAATGAAAATTGTGATTGGGAAGAAACTATCAAGAGATTGCCAGATGCAGATGTTTTGAAGGAAAACTTGCATGAGAAAATGATATCATGTATTGAAAGTACAAGTAAATTTTATCTGTGGATTCAAAGTAACCTTGTAAAGATTAGATTGCTCTTTCATTGGACGTGAGCCTCCTCACTGACAGTTAAAAGATTGCGCCCTGAAGCAGTCTTTTTACTGTTCCATCAGATAAATGGGAAGAGACAAGATCATAAAACAGAGAAAGTTGTATTGGAACCTCTTGCACAGCAGATATTTTGAAAAGTACTCGTCTCAAAAAATTGTTTGCTTGTTAACTAAAATGCATGTTTGTCAGTGTTTGGGAGGGGGTGAAAACAGAAGACGGTTTCATAGGAAAAACACTTTTGTGACATGATTCATGTTCCAAAGGAGATTTTTCTTAAGTTTGCTTAGTTCTGGATGCAATTATTGTGTGTATGGACTTGCTTCAGCGGGAAACATTGTGAGTATGTAACCCAAAGCCTTTTACAGAATTCTGACCTTGAACTTTGGAACTGATCTGATTTCTTCTCTGTATTAGCTTTCCAGTATCATGTAAATATGGAAAATGCTTTTTTTTACAAAATAAAGCCAATATTAAAAACAAACAACACACTACAGGAGTCTGTCCCTGAAGAATTCCCAGGAGGCATCTAGCTTCTCCAGACAATCTAAGAGCTTTCTGATGCAACTGGGAACTTCGGAGTAGATTTATGAGAATATTAATGCCATTATACAAGGCACAAAGACTTCACTTAGTGTTGCATTTTTTGTGACCTATTTTCAAAAAACTTGAATTCAGACGTTAAAATGCATAGAAGACAGCTACCAAATTTATAAGGGTGATGGCATAACGTAAAGAAAAAACAAAAAAAAACCCCTAGAAAAGTGAGTTTGTTCAGCCTAGCTAATTAAAGGCTGTTGGAGAGAAGGTGGCTGTTTGCAAATATGCAGGCTGTGGGAGATAAACATGCAGTAAGGAAAAACACTGTTTAAGCTGAAAGAAAACGTTGGCACACGTGTTACAAAGCTGTCAGTGAATGTACTTAGACTGGAGATGTGACGATTTCTAACACCCGGTGAACTGATGGTCCAGGGAAAGGAAGATAACCATATTTCCTCTCAAAACAGAGACTGAACATCTTGTTAAAAATTACATGATCTAGCTGTGAATGCAAAAGACTAGACTTAGTGATGCAATTTATATGAATAAAGTCTGATGGGCATGGAAAGCTGTATCAGTTTGATGATTAAAGGCGAGTTGTGAATTAAAAGCACTGTACTTATGGCAGTATAACCTTGAATACCTTCGGAGCAACTGCTTTTGTAATGTTGTGGGTAACTTGCTTGTACGCACCAAACCCTTTGATACTGAGTTTACCTTCAGTTGAGAAAATACCATCGGGTAAAAATTCAAGAAAATCACCCTTATGGTTGAATATCCAGATAAAAACTGTATAAGTGTAACTGAATTTTGTTCTGTAGCTGACAGAACTTTTTGATGTTTATTGTTACTATTTCTTAGCCTCTTAAATAGGCTTTAAAATCCATCTTATCCAATGAGTCTACTGAATTAGCTTACTAAAATGGAACCCCCACCAGCGATAGTAATTTAAAATACACTTTCCATTTTCACAAGGACATACTTCAATCTGCAAAGGAAATATCTAGTGTAATCAATAAACCACCTAACATATTTTATTAGCATTTTATCTACCTTGGTGAAAAATGGCAGAATTCCATTCATTTAGATGTAGTCAGTGATTTATACAGTCAGAGGGCTAGAGTCCTCAATTTTAGGGTGTAGGAGTGAGTAGGGGAATCGTATAAAGGTAAAACTAACATAAATAATATGACCAACGATAGAACATTTTCTACCAAGTAGGTTTGTTTGCCCTTTTTTTTTTTTTAACAAGTAAGGAAAAAGAATTAGAAGAATTTTGTAAGGAAAGAATTAGAAAAAAGCCTTATAGATAATACTTCTGATATATGTAAATGTTCCTTTTTTATTTTAAGAGGAAAGAAGTACGAGAAGAGGCACATTGAACTGTTTACAGATCTTAGTAGTCCTGTCAGTGAGGATCAGCTGGAAATTATCGTTGCTAACTTGAAGAAAACAGGAATTTCACTTCAGTTTTTGTAAGTATGGAAGAGGCTGTTATACACTATGCCATTTTTTTAAAAGGGAAGTTATTCTTTCTTAATAACAGTCTTGAATGAGCTGCTGATATGTTGGTGCATTGTTTCTGTAGAGGTGTACCAGTATTTAATATGATTGTTATAAATACTTCTATCAGTTGCACATGCCATGAATTCCGGTTATGAACCAAGTCCCCTTGATTAAGTGATGTGCAAATACACGTTAAGATGATGGCTGCTTCTCCAGTTAAGCTTATAGCTCAGAACCAGAGTCTAAAATGGGAGACAGAAGATCTATCTAAGTAGAGAAGTGGGAAACAATGAGCCACAAATAGCCTCAGAAGCAGTGGTTTTGTCACAGCAACAGCCTAGATCATTTTAGGTAAGGGAGTTACTGGGGAGAAATAATGAGGTAGTGTTGCAGATGTTTATAGCCTGATTCTGGTGTCACTTTTGCAAGTGTGAACAGAAGGGTTTTCACGGTGATGGGCTTGGAAAATGGAAGCAATGTCTTAAGTGTTATGACAGGAGTCCCTTGGCTGTCTTGGTATAGGTATAGGCATTGATCTGAAGAATCAGTGGTGGTGCTGAGATCTCTGTGAGTTGTTGCACTGATGGTAACGTAGGAAGCTATAGGCCGTCTGGTAGGAGTTTATTTAAAAGCAAAACTTTGTGCGAATGTCAATGTTTGCAGTTTATAACAAATAATTTCACAGGAGAAAGTTAAAGCTGCAGTTTTACTTACGACCATTTTAATATTTGCTTTCACCTAGATCTAGCATTCTGTAAGGAGCAATGTTGTGAACTTGATAAATTCATTAAAACCATTTGTGAACCCACCTGCAAGATAAGAGAGGGGTTAGGTAGGAAAGTGTGACTGAAAATCATGGGCTGATCCTCCACAGAAAAATTCTTTTTTGCCTGTGCTTGGGTGAGGCTGAATGTAAAAAATGTCAGCCTACTCTCAGTTTTGTCTACCTTCTAAAAGAAGGTATGATTGCAACATGCCTTGACATGCCCCTTCTAGGTTATTTGAGCTATTGTTGTCACTGGAGACGCGACACCATGAACCTGAGTACGTGCTGCCAGCCAGAGTACATCTTTCAGAGACCTCGTATTTAGACCTTGCTACCTTGTCTCCATACCTGTAGTTTGCTATGCAGACTAGCACAGATGCTACCACCACAAGTTAATGTTGCAGTTTTATTCTGTGAGATTTCTGATACGTCTTTACATTTTCTTTGTCTGTAACGTAGCAAAGGAAAAGCCCTGTGGCTAATACAAGCACTAGGGAGATGTTGCTGTTACAGCGTCAGCTGCAGATTTACACACTGTCTCCCAGCCACAAGAGCAAACAATGCTTTGAGAAATACATGAACAACCGTAAAATACTCAGGATACTGGTTTAAAAATAATTTCTTGCTAAACCTTGTCCTTTTGTTGTATCCCATGCTTCCACCTCTTACACCCTGTTTATTGATTAGGTTGTAACTTGTGACACATAGTTGGTTTTCCTCCCTGTTATCAAGTGCCAAGCACATGATGAGTACTGTGTAGCTTTGGATGTTACACAGTTATCACAGGAATCTTTAAGCATTGTATAATGAAAATAATCTAACTTTATATATCAGAGGTTTGAAGCTTCTTTGCTCTCATAACAACTTTAAAATACATTTTCTTTATTTGTCAATGGATTCTGTATTCTAAAAAGGTACCAAACACTTGCTGAAATTTGATCTTTAATTCTGCTGTGTGACATTGTTGTGCGTATTGTTAAGTCTGCTTATTATATGTTGCTCCACAGATAAGTTTAGTGAAGACTAATGAGGTGAAAGTAAGGTAGAAATCTGTAGGCTGCGTTTTTGAAAACATAATACAATGATAAAATTCTTTTACTTCATGGAGATCTGGTAAAAGCTATCATGTGGTTCATTCAAAATTGGATCAGACGAAAGATTTGAAAAATCTGCAGGTGTTGTCAAGGGCACAGAGTAGAGGATCTTACACATCTTTCTTTTCTGTAGTTATTATACTTAGTTAACTGTTATATTTTGAAGAGCAGCAAAATCATTTTATCTATAACCCCTGGCTAAATTTTTAAAACTGATTCTTGAAGTGCAGGAAAATGTGTCATCTTCAGTCAGAAATTCACCTACTGGTGTAAGCTATTAAAATCTCAAAGAGTAACATTTATTCCAGTAATACCCAATAGCCCCACTTCAGAGAAAGGCCTGTTTGCTGGCATTTAGAGCAGATACAGAATTATAGGCCTGGAATGGCTTTTAACAAGTCATCTGGAGCAATCCTCTACTTCAGACTGGGTCAGTTGTATGTATGTCAATGCTGAGCAGTGCTTGTCTAATCTTTTTATCAAGATTTCCAGTGATGGGGACTTTTCCATCTCCTCACTCTGTTGGTTTTAGAGATTATGGTTTGAACTGCCTTTATCAGGCTTTTGAGTATCTGACTGGACTCCATAATGTAATTTGAGTGCAAGCTGAATATGAAGAACTGATTGTTCCCTTCCTCTCTGCAACAGACTGTCTTGCCCTCTGACTCCCTTTTCTATGGGCTTTTTTTTGTTCAATCTTTTTTTGTAGATCTTGTTCTCTAATCAGCATTGTCTTTACTCCCTACTCCTTTCCTGTATGTGGTCATCTTTACTGATGTATGATGCCCAGAACTGGTGCACAGGATGTTACCAATTCCAAGCAGACCTGAAATAGTACTTCATGTGTTTTGCAAGCCATGCAGCTTTTTATACATCTGACTGCAGCTAGATAGAAATTGTTGATCCTGATACATTTTTTGTTTTGTTTTTGGTTGGTTATTTTAATTAAGAAGAAAGTCAAACTAACTGCTTCCACTTGTGTTCTTAGTTTGCCATTTCCAGTGGATGTTGATGATGGAGGTGGAGATACAACTGCCAGTGTACGTTCTCAAATGTACAGAAACCCTTTTCCAAGAAAGGGTTTAACTGAGCAACAGAAGGAAGGTATTGGTGTGGTGAGAAAACTGATGCATACTTTGGACAAAGAAGAAGGGCTGGAAGAAATTTATACTTTCAGGTAAACTTGGCTAATCCCCTTTATCACACTGCAAATTTACTTCCTGAGTTCTTCCCCAAAATATGAAATTAAGTAATCAGTCACTTGGCTTTCAGTTTTACTGAAGTCAGTGAATTTCATAACTTGTTATACACTCAGTCCCTTTCAAACAGCTGCTTCAGTGGCTTTAGAATAGGTAGAAAAGCTTATAGATTTCAGTGGAAAATGAATTTTCTATAGCTGTATTTAAGGGAAAAAAAAAATCAGTTCTTCCATCTTTAGTGTTGGTGGATTTTGGAAGGAATGTTTCTCTAAATGAGATTTCAAAAGCATATTTTGGAAAGAATTGGATTTTGTGACATAGTGCAGGTAAAACATTTGCATTTAACGATAGCCTTTGTTCCTTGGTCTCAGACTCTTTTTAGCTCACTAGTTTATCAAACTCCCACAAATGTTTTGAGTAATGTTTGTTGAATCCTGCTCTTTAATCACAGGCTTACTGTGCCTTTGTGCCAAACAATATGCCTTTATAGTACCATTCCTAATGCAAGAATTTGAAAGATGGTTTTTCACTCCATGTTTCCCCAACGAAAGAATAAAAATATATGTGTCTCTGAAAAACTATAGCTAATGATATGTCCAAGACTTTTCCACATAGGTGTTGCCTCAGTTGGGATACAAGCAAAATGTGTCTATGTGCCTTAAAAAGTTCTGATTTTATTGTCCAAGTAGTTCTATTCTACAATTACAAAGAGTGATCTTTTAGAGAGTATGTTTTTCAGGATGCTTAGTAGACCATTAGTAGCAGGCTTTGTCATTACATCAAAAGACTGCACAGAAAAGCAGTATCTTTCTGGGCCCATTTATCCTTTACAATAATCCATATGCATGAAGCTGCTATGTGGCTTGTCCCCTTTGTATTTTTTTTTTTTTTTTTTAATCTCAGGCTCTTGCTGCTGTATAAGCTCTTTGTGCCATGCTTTCAGGGGAAATCCAAAATCTTTGGGTAAACAAGCATTTCACTAGTAGATTAAAGCTTTAGTTAAGTTGTTTAAGAATACATGAGGTTTTAGATGCAGTTAAGTTGCTTATAAAACTTAAGAAGTCAGCCTTGCAAATCTGTCATGATAATTTACCGACTCAGATTCTCTGTTTTCCTATATTCATTATTGCTGCTGGTAAAAATATTTCAACTTTTGTGAAAATAAATTAGTCATGCTGGGAAAGCGAGAAAATGTTGTTGTATTGTTTTAGGGTTTGATATTCTGACTATGGGACAGGAGGTACTTCTGCTGCCTCTGGGTTTGGGGGAGAGGACTGGAGAACAGCGGAGAAGAGGCATGTTTTTAAAATACAAGTTGAAATGTGCATTTGCTAAGGTTTTACTGGCTGAGTCGTCCTTGAAAACACGGAGCTTTTTTCTTCTATAAACATAAGAAATTAAAGTATAGAGTTAGTAAATTGAGCTTAAATGACATTTTTAGGTGTATGACACTTAGGTATTTGATTTTTCACATTCATCCTTGAATGTATGTGTTGCAGTAGCTTTGATGTAGTAACAAGTCCTATTTAAAAATCCTGTATTGATGTATCTATTGTCAGAAAAAGTAATTTTTCCTCCCTTCCTTCTGTCCCCCAAGGAAAAAAAATTTAAAAGGAAATACAATGTTTATCTCATTATAAAAATCTCAGTCCATTTTCTTCTTTCATTGTGCTTCTGTTAGAATTTTCAAAAAAACTCTGCTCATCCTAAGAAAGTTGAAAAGTAGAATACCAAGCTGAGTTCTGCAATAATGTTTTTAGGAGTTGATTTTAATTTATGCAGACAAGTGCTTTAACGAAGATACAGGTAGATTTGGGTCTTTATCATCAGGTGAAAAAAGTGAGGTCAACAGTGTTTTCTCTTTGCTTCATCATGCAATAAAAAAATTTTATGAGCACTGTGTTATAGCAAAATAGCTGATATGTTATAGCATATCATGTTATAGCAAAATAGCTGATACAGTTATTAGCTGAAAGCTGTTCTGGGGTGCAAGCCTATTTGATTTCACAATAATATATTATAAATTACTTATACTGTCAATTTTGAATTTTTGGACTCCATTGCTTAAAGTTGTGCAGTTGAGTTAACACTCTTCAGTATAAAATCATTACAGTTCCTTTTTTTTTTGGTGTTTTATGGACTTGCATATATGCTGTTTAGGCTAGAAATATTTAAAGTAACTTGTTTCACTCTAACCAAATGCTCTGAAAATAATGAGTTCTTTAATACTGTATTAAAAAAAAGTGTCAAAAGTTAATTACCACACAAACAAAATCCTGTAATTGAAACTGGGTTCTTTATTTCTTCGCCTCCTCTGCAGAAACCATTTTACCACTTAGAGAAGCCTTTTCTAATTTGCGTTGTTCAACTATCTACATGCCCTAATTGGGTGAGCACAGATAAATGTAAAATGCTTAATAAGCAATTGTGTGGTTTCATCACAAGGCCTAAGATACTGTCTGTAAGTCACAGAATCACTAAGGTTGGAAAGG